ACAGATTCGATGATCAACCTTCCCCGTCACGGCGCCATGGGTAGAGAGGGGATGACAAACGATTCAGAATAAAAGGATGTGTCTCCCAGAACAGACTCTGGGAGAAGGCAGGGACACACCAAAGGATAGCTCTTCACTACAGAAAAATTGAGATCTTACTGTTGAATTTATCATACAAGTGCTGGGAAGACTTCCATTCCTCCTAATCAAGGGAGAAGAGAACGTGAACAGGTCCTGCAGACTGAATGAGGAATGGGCCGGCCGGGAAAGGCTGAAGTCTGCAGTGTGATTTCTCACACGTGGTGGGAACACAAATCTATGGTGAGGTGGGGAAGGAAAACAAGGATTAAGTGTGGGCGTGGAACTAAAAGATGGTGTAAAGCAAGACTGAATTGTTTATGGCGACTCATTCGATGGAGAACTAGGGGGGAAAGGCAATGGGGTGAGCGTGAGCTTTGCTGAGTCTTTCCAGCAGCTGCTGGAGGATCAGCTTGTGTTTTATCTGCCCGAGGCTCAGCCATTCTTTTAAGGAACGCGGGGTGTATTTAGTGAAGGTTGTCACTCAGAAACCAAGGACTGAAGAGATTTCAGATTCTTCCCACCCGTTCAAATCCAGCAGCATAAAGTGCTTCCGTCTTCTCCTTGTTCATGTTTGTATCTTACAATGCTTGAGAAATCTGTTCTTAAAAGGTGACTGTGTACATTCACTTTGCTGTGTCTTCAGTATAAAAGGAGATGGTTTCACAATTATTATTCCAACAGCAATACTAACAAAACTACTGACCCATTCCAAGTTTCTTTGTGGTATACATTGTATTCAGAGCAGATTCTGTGAAAAGTGCCCAGAATACTGTGTGCATGTTTGATCTAATTTGCCACAGAAACCTGGGTAAAGCGGCAGCTTCAGACTGTGAGACATTCTATAAACAATGGCCCCGGGGCTCCCCGGAAACATCGACTCACAGAAGCCAAGAAACTGAGTGGGAAGTGCTCACCTTGAGGAAAACGAGGGACAGGAAAACCCAATGAAATGCAAGATAATGATTGCATTGTCAAGAAGCTACAAGGGCTTTTTCTATGATGTGTTTTGATGGTGTAATTCCATCGATATTAATTATGTTTTTTGAGCATACAGGGATAGGAAGGGCAGAGGGGAGAACAAAAGGATTAAGATGTGATATACAACCGATGCGTTTACAAAAAAAAAGTAGCAAACTACTAGCTGACTTGCAAATGCAGATACAGAAAGGAAGAACTGACAGGAAGAAAAAAGCCTCCGAAACACATGTGGCAAAATTTAGCAGTAAGAGAATCTGCAGAAAGGTTATAGGTATTCTGTGTACGGTTCTTTAGATTTTTTTGTAGTTTTAGTTTTTTTTATAGACCTAAGGATAATAATACAGAAACCTAAGCCTCACCCAGAAGATTCTGATGATGCTGGTGCTAGGGAGGGTCCAGGAATACACACGGGATCAAGAGGATCTCAGGCAAACAAAGCCGTGCTTCGAGAACCCTAAGTAGACACAGCAGGGACCCTGGCCAAGACCTCCATGGCCAGGCATTCGTGGACACCCACAAGCAGTACACTGCCCGCTCCCAGGAATCAGTGGTTCTAGGCTAGTCAAATCCAAGACCAGTGGAAACTTGACAGCTTATAATAACTGAGTAATTGTGGATGCTATAGCATAGCAAAAGAGAACAGAACTAATCTACGGCCTCTCCCTGGTGGCAAAGGCATCTTCAGGTGCTTTCGATACTGTAAGCAGCTTGTGGACTGACAACCCATCTTGATATAGAAGTTTCTAGCAGATGAAGCAACTATGAAATCGTCATCCTGATTCAAAGCTCAAGCTCCCAATTCAGTGGCTTTGTGATGGCCAAGAAAATACCCGACTCTTTAAGCTCCCATTTACTCACATGTCAAATACATATTTACAAATTATGTTTGATCTCCTAGGGTTGTTTTATAAGATTCAAACTCATGCACAGAAAGCTCTACCTGGGTGCTCTACCTGCACACAATAGTGACCGAGGAATCTTAGCTCGTCTTAGGACGTTTGAGTGGGGTAAAGTGGATGACTTAAAATGTTAGAACGAGAACCTTCTCCACCTGTAGGGAAAACAATGTACTGTGTGTGCATCCACTTAGAGGTGGTCAGCTCTGTCTCTCGCTTTCTCTGTGCCCTCTTCTTCCAGTCCAAAAAGTAGCTATGATTTTAACAGTACTTAGGAGGGGCGCTGAGAATGCAGTCAGGTGCTGCTTGGTTTCCCTAAGTGAAGTTTGATGGAACTGAGCCGGCACCCACTCACCCACTCACACATCGTCTCCAATTACTTTCATGCTCCAGTGACAGACATAATTGAGCCATCCTGACACATACCACGAAGACCAAAAAGCAGAAAGTATTTCTAACGCAGAGCTTTGTAGAAAAAGAACAACCTCTGGTTTGAGCTGTTAAATGCTGGGCAAAGGACTGGAACAACTTTTTTACTTTAATTGAAGTATTAGTTTCTGTGACCTTAGGATCAAACCCAGGGCTTCGCACATGCTAAGCAAGTTCTCTGCCTCTGAGCCACAACCCCAGCCACGCGGTGTCTTCAGGAAGGAAAACTCAAAGACAAGGTCAGGGCCCTGATTTGGCAAACAGTGAGCCTTCCAGTCCATGGTGGACACCATTATTGCACAGCAAGGAAACACCACCCTCACAGTGTCATTAGGGGTCACTTATGATCAGGTTTACAGTGTATAAAATATCATCTAACCTCACAACTAAAATGAAAGCAAGCAAACTGAAAAGACTCCGGGGGTAGGATTGGCTCCTGAGGTCATGGGTTTCTGTTTCTCGATGTAAGTAACTGAATCAAGGACTCCATTGCTACTTGGGTCTCCCACCAGGGTGCATGGTGCTGTGGTCCAAGTTCACGTCCAGGTAGATGGATGTCGCTGAGATTCAAGGGCTGCCCACCCCTGCTTGCATGGCAACGGCACTAGGAGGTCCACTTTCGGAACTGGCCAGCTGGCCTCCTGCCTTCTCCTTCATGGTACATTCATGTGTCCTAAGCGGGTGCCCACACATGTCACCAAAAAAGTAAGATAAAGCTTTAACGATTCCCACCTCTTTGCAAACTCCCAGTTGTTGAGAACTAAATACTACAGACCAAGCAAAAACAAAGGAAAATAAACCAAAACATTATCCGGAAAGCTCCAAAAATACGACTTGCATGGAGGTAAAATTTGGGCATACTGTTCTTGAATCTCTCGGGATGCCAGAATTCTCTGCCTTTTTCATTCTCCTCTGGGAGCATATTTGATCCAGAGAACAGAATTTTTGGGTAAATGCCTGGACTTTACTCCTTATAAATGCTCCTACTATTTTAGACTTCGTCTGTAGCCACAGAAGGGTTCACCCAGGTCCTGAGGTAGAGTTTAAGGGGCAAGAACATTTGGTTCTGTGTGGCCTTGGAAGGTACAGTCTGGTCCTGGTCATCCCTTGGTCATCCAGGGAGGGTGGGACATGAAGACCTCGTAAGGCCTCCAATCCTCACAGTTCTCCAGGACGGGGCAGTTGTGGGAGCGACAGGCTGCCTCTTTCCTTGGTCATTACAAGGAGTCTAAGTTATCCAAGCATCCTCAGGTTCTTCACATTTCAAACAGTAGTATCCTCAGAACATTCTGGAAAGAAATGTCAAGTGTTGCTAGGTGTGGTTCACTGATGAGGCCACAAGTTTAGCAAGACTGTGGGACTTGAGCATGGTCACTAGAATTCAGGTCTTTTGGGCCAAATTTGAGTGTTCATCCCTTCAGAACTGGAAGAATCACTGCTTCACACGAATTGTGCAACCACGTGAAGGCCACCAACTTTGAAACCCAGTTCACATGTCCCTCTGGCGGCTGGCCTCAGTGTTGGGTAAACATTCCAACAATTTCCAAAATAATTATTGACTAACCTGTAAACAGCCTGTGCTAGATGCTTTTATGAGATTTAAGAAAAGAAAATAAAATACAGGACTCAGTGTTCACTCTCCAGGGATGGAAGATTTGGATTTCAAAAGGAAAGAATTATGAAAAACTACCAGAAACCTGGAGGTAAAACTAGGAATAATCGGCCTCAAGCCTGCGTCGCACACAGAACTAAGCGCTTTCCTCATCTGATTTGCGCCTTGCAGCAACTCTCCAAGGCAATGTGATTATTCGCCGGACAGCGGAGGAAATCCTTGACTAGCTTGCTCAAGGTCCTAGTGGGCTGATGACCGAGCAGGGGTTCAACCCCCTGGCACAGATGCCAACGCCCTGGAGAGCTTCACTGCAGGTTTCTGACTCCCAGAAGCACACAGTGGCCTGGGTGGTGGGGGCTGAACACAGAAGCACCCCAAAAGTGGGGAAGTAGGGATGTGGGGGTGTGGGGCAGTGAGACTTCCAGGGACGGGCAGGGCCGGAGAGGGGAGCCATGGGGTGGAACTGGGAGGAGGCGATGGGCACGGATTGGCCAGCTGTGCCCGGGGTTGGTGAGGAGGGCGCAGATGGGCTGGGAAAGTGCGAGCAACGGTGGGGGGATTGATTAGTGCCTCGGAAGGCAACCCTGCGCTCAGGGCCCAGCTGTGTTACTTGGCTGCGGATCCGAGGGACAGCGTGCTGCGTCACGCTGTCCCCTTGGAGCGGAATTTATAGCTGCACCTCTGTTCCGTAGGGGAATTTGGTGCTGTGGCCACATGCTCTGGCTTCCAGAGTGCAGGTACTAACCGCGTTGTATGAAAAGCAATGTCCTGTAGCACCTGAGAGAGGAGCAGGCAGGGGCTCCCCGGGGAAGTCAGGGGTGGTGGGGGACGGTGTAAAGCCCTTTGGAGGTGTTATGCACACTTGTTTCCCAACGCAGGGCTTTGCAAAGTTCTTGAAGCAGTAATTCAAATTTTGTACTTACAAAATTCATGACCCATGGTTTTTACTCCATTGTATTTTGAAAAATCAGTACATTTTACCTAAATATAGGTTTTCTACTTTTTTGAGAAAAACATCAAATGCTCATTGTTATGGATTAAAAACTGGTGGTCAACTTAAGGCCACCTGAATTAAATCAGCATGGTGCTCAGCGTAGATGGCCACCTGAGGAAAGTTACCAGCACGGAGACAGAGAAGACGAGTGAGGCGTTATGGGTTCTCCTAAGCGTTGCTGTTTGAGCTGCTGGTTCCCCTGGAGGAGCTGTCATGACCAGCTTCCCCAGTGTGAGTTCGACCACTGTCATCAGCAGAGCTCGGGACCTTGCTGGTGAGAGTGACTGTGGTTCATTTTGGGGGAGCTCTGGGCCTTACATTGAGCATCGCTCCCTGGTTCTGGAGGGGAAGACGTGTGCTGTTTAATCTCCAGAAGAAGCTTGTCATGCCGGCTTCCTGGCATGTACTCAACTGTTCTCATTGTCAGAGGACCTCCGTGTCGCTGAGGATGGTGTGGTACTCTTTAGGCCAGCCCTGGTCCTTATTTTGAGCATGATTTCTCAGCTCCGGGGTAGAACCCCCATCCCACCAGCACAGCTCCTTCACCCCTGCTGGCATAAACTTTCTAGGTTCCATCGCTGACCTTTGGGCCTTCCCAGCACGGATCTGTAAAAGAGACTGGCGTGAGTCCTTGTTGTGGGCTCTGGACCTCCAGTTGGACTCTTGGGAGGCACTGTCATGGCTCTAGGTTTTCATCTGGACTCAGGCAGGACACTGCTGTGGGATCCAGGGCTTTGGCTGAATATTCCGGGTCTTTAGTGTTGTGGACAGATTTCCTGCACTTCCTGTGTTTAACTCTGGGTGACCGTCATAAAACAGTGTTATAAATTCTGTGTCCTGATTGTAACTATTCCCCTCACAACCCCTGACCACACTCATCAACCCTGAATCTACAATTCCCCGTCTAAGAACAGTGGCTATGTGGATGTAGGGCCTATTGCATTCAGGCAGTTTTTAGGGTTTAACGTCCTCCATTCTTACGATAGCATCACAAGGTAGGAATGGTGTCTATACCCAATTTTAGTATTAGAAAACTGAGGCAGGTGGAGGGTTTAGAGGCAGGACTTGAAAGTTGCTGTGGTGGCTCCTAAGCCCACTCACGAAACAAGAATCCCGCCTTGCAGGGCAGTTTGTACCTGGGCTTAACCTGCTGTTTTGCATATGGCTTTAAAAACTGGCCGAGAATTTCTGCCTTTCCTCCCGTGGAGAGAAGGAAGTTTACATCCTCTCCCATCACAGACGTAAAGTCTGAGGAGAAGCCTTAGTTGCTGTGCTATAAACATATATTAGAGATGCCCCGGGAAAGTCATAGAAGGAACAAAGAGACATACAGTTTATTCATTCACTGATTCACTCATACATCCCAGTATTCATTCAATACTGAGTATTTACTCGGGTGAATACACCGAGGCAGGCCCTGGGTAATGGAGAGAAACACAAGGGGCCGTCTTCCTCCTCTGAGAGAGATTCTCTGCGGAGCTTCTGCCTTTGAAAGCCATTGCTAAAGAGAAGGATTCAACAACTACTCCTGCTACTGGTGTGACCGTCTCTACTAACAACAGAAATAATACGTGATAACGGTAACCAAAGAGCCCTTTACAGTTCCCAAAAAATATTTATAATGTACTATCTCACTTGGTGTCCACAATAACTGAGAAGTAGGAGGGACACATCTTTTCTCGATTTTACACATGCAGAAATGGAAGAACAGAGAATTTCAGCCCCAAGTCTAACTCAGGCAGGGCGCAGCTAGAACACGGTTTCATGGACTGCACTTCTGCTATTATTTCTGTGTGCTCTGGGTCTAGGAGGTGATGCCGGTGTCAGCCTTTTTATGCAGAAGGAAGAAGCTGGAGGGGCATAACCTGACAGGCTCTGAACCACACGTGGCCCGGCGAAAGGCATGTCACCTGGGAGACCTGGACCTCCCAGCCACTGCCAAAGGGACTCGCCTCTGACCAAGGGGGTGACAGTGGACAGGCGGCCAGCAGGACTTGGGCTTTGGCATAGTCCTGACTAATGGATAAGCACTATCCTTTTGGAGAGAAGGGACCGGTGGTGGGGACTTGGGGACCAGTCCCCCTGCCTCATGGAGGAGAATGGCTCAGGAGAAGCAGGGGCAACAGGACCAGTGGCCGCACGGGAAGACACCTTCCTAGAGGGCTTTCCAGGGTCGGCGGCCTTGCATGTGGGCTTGGGCCAGTGAGGCTATTTTGGGGAGTTTTTCAGATAGATGGACTCACACAAGTGCATAAAGATACCAGGCAGGGACATTCATTGCAATGTTTTTAGTTTTTTACAACAGCAAAAAAACTGGAATCAATTTTGATGCTCAGGCATAGAGAATAGTGTGGGCAAACATTTTAAAGATGTACAAACTATCCTTAGCAAAAGAGAAGCAATTAAATAGGATGGTATGGGCCTTTTGTACAAAATAACAAACAGATACACGCATGTGCATGTGACAACTTTAGTATTCTTAATAATGAACATTTATTTCTTTTATAGTTCAAATAATGTTCCAATAAATAACAAGGCAGTTAAATAAATAAGAATAGCCAATACTAGGAAGCGCTATCAGTATTCGGTCCAAAGCACCCCAGAGATACTAACCATAACGTCCATAATAATAGCACACACTTCTGCTGATACAGGGGAATGAAATTCCTGACCCCCTACATGTCTGGTACAAGTTCGTGTTCTCTAAAATTGAACGATGAATTTTAGGAACAACAGAGGTCAAGAGCAGAAATATTTATTGAGAGGAAGAAAGCTGCTGTCTGAGACAGAGGCAGAAGGAGTCCTGAGTGGGTTGCCAAAGATTCTGTCTTTTCTAGGGACGTTTATAGAGCAAAACCATGAGGTGATGTGGGTCTAAGGTGGGGGAAACTGGAAACCTGTGAGGCAGAAGGTCAGGAGGTGGACAGAGCTACGGTCAACCAGTAAGTTTAATTGTTCCAGTAAAATGGACCAAACCAGGGACAAATGGGGGAACTGAGTCACATAGCAAGTGAGCATTCTTTATGGGTCAGTGACTCTTCCCATAGGGGTTTCGGATGGTGATTCCTGGCTTCTCAAGGTGGTCAAAACTACTCTCTAAGGTTTATATTTAGGGTGTGGTTGCATTTGTTTTGCCTTCTGTCTTGAGATCTGGCCCATAGCAAGAAGTGTGAATCTCCTCCAAGGTCACCAGACACCTGGTCCTCTGTGCCAGCTTCCTGGAGGGCCGAGCCCTGTCTCACTACCTAAAATATTTCTAACCAGCTCAGCTGCCTGTGACACTATGGTCTTCCTTTGTGCTAGACAATGTTTGAAGCATTATATATTAACACTTTAATACATTTGACACATTAATTCTTTAATATATTTTAAGTATAATATAGTCATTCTTTAATACGTTAGTAGCATGATCCATTGACTTTGTGCACGTAACCTCTCTCCTACCTTGCTTCTCTAGGTAAGTCAGAAAACCACAGTTCAGACTGGAGTTGAGAGCTGATCTGGAACCAGCAAGACAGCCAGAAATCGTTCTCTCTCAGCCTTGGAGGTACAAAGCGAGCCACTGGTTCCTGGTGGTCAGATGAGATGAGCTGCTTCAAAAAGCCCGGAGACACTGTTTCTCCCAGCAGGAGTCTGGCTAACCTGCTTGTGTAGCAGCTAAGACCTAGCGGGAACTACATGATGGGAAACCACTGGAGGGGTTGCTTAAACGAGATAAAGGGTTTCTATCCATATGAAAGAAGCCCAGAATCGGGTGTGGTGGCGCACGCCTGTCATCCCAGCACTGGGAGGCTGAGGCAGGAGGATCATTGCATGTTCCAGGGCATTTTGGGCTACATAGTGAGCTTGAAGTCAGCCTGGACTATTTAGAGGGACCCTGTCTTGTGAAAACAAACAAAGCACCCTACCACGGCCTGTAACAGAAGCCCACAGCAGCCCTTACTGCATCCCGGCTCTGTGTATGAAGGGGAGGCTCCCCGTGAGGAGCCCCCAGGGAGCGTCAGCTAATACCAGCGTTAAAAGCTCTGCATTTCCTCAGGCTAACCTTCAACTTACCGAGTGGATCATTTCTGTTTCTCCAGACTTCCATATATGAAAGCAATTACCACAGCAACTTGAAACTACAAAGAACTGCTTCAGGAGACATTTGCCATGTTTGAATAGAAACTAGAAACAAACCTAGGGGAAGCCGGGCATAATGGTGCATGTCTGTAATTCCAGCACTCAGGAAGCTGAGCCAGGAGGATCTCTGTGAGCTCAAAACCAGCCTGGGCTACAGAGTGAGTTCAAGTCCAGCCTGAACTGCATAGTGAGATCCTGCTTCAAAAAGACCAAAAAAGAGAGACAGCAGGATATACACATAAAGGAAAGTTCACATGAGAACATGCAGGCAGTGGCCCATCTGTAAGTCAAGGAAGCCCTCAAGGGGACACAATCGTGATCTTACACATCTTGATCCTGCAATTCCAGCCCCCGGAACTGAGAGGAAAACACCCCAGCTATGTGCACCCTCGCCAGTGAACAGGTGTGGGGCTTCGGTGTTAAAGAGAGGGTGCTGTTGAGGGTGGACTGGGTGGTAAGGAGTTGGCCTTCCTCCTGGAGCCTGTTTCTATTTTGAAGGATTTGCATTAGAGAGAGGAGCCGACTTCTCACTTCTGTCCACTTGAGAGTGAAGAAATCTCTCCCCTGGCAGTGATAGCAGAGCTCAGAGGAGGACCTGTCCTTTCAAAGCCCAGAGGCCCAGTCCTTCCTTCCTGCTCCTGCCCAGGGTGCCCCTACCTGTGACTCAGGATGCCTGCCACGGGGCCACTTGTGATGGTCGCACAGCTCACCCACATTCCCATATGGCTTTTTATCAATAAACACAATTTACACTTCAATCTCCAGCTGCCCGAGTCCACGCCTGCCTCTGAGTGCCCTCAGCTGATACAGGACAAGGAGGTGTCCCCAAGCCCACAACAGGAAGGACAAGCATTTTCCAAAGGTAAGGAACCTGCAGCCCCAAACACAGGAGCAAGCCGGAGAGCATACGCGGAGTTCCTAAGTGGAGTGGCCCTGCCGGTGGTTCACGGGCTCGCTCCTGACACACACTGAAGGGACGGGAAGACAGGAAAATGCCCATTGGACTTAGCAAGTCAGGGCCCTAGTAACCTTGGCAACAGCCGCACCAAGACTTTGTGGATGGGGTAGGAAATGTGACCATGCAGTGTGCTGAAGAGGGGTGGCAGCCGGTGTGCCCTGATTCCTTTATGAGAATTGGGGGAAAGGAACCATCAGGCGGTGGAGGGAGTTGAGGTACAAGCTGAGTATTTCGAGGGGAAGGACTTGAGCTTGCTTGCATATGGTGAGGGAGGAGCGAGGGAGACATGGGGAGAGATTTCATTACAGGCAGCCGAGTTAGACTGAAATGTTACAGGCAGTCAGACAGGGCTGGGCCCTGGAGGGAGCCATGCAGAGGGGCAGATACCTTGGAACTGTGGGGGAGACAGACACCTCTGCTGTAGGCCAGGCCTCAAGAGAAAAGATCAAGCAAATGCACCCACATCCTAAGAACTGATATTCTAAATACTCTATCACCCTGAGGAAGCCAGGGGTCATCAGACCAACCCCCTAGGAGAAGAGTCAGGGCTCTGTATGTGTGTCTCACATCTGTCCCCCATTTAATCAATTTTATCTGAACAGTGAATCTTACTGGCTGACCACAGTTCTGTCCCACCTCATGCCCACCCGCCTTGCCAGTTCCCATCTTGGGCCTGCCTCATTTTGTGATTTTACCCTATAAAATCCCTAGAAAAGACAGAGTCTTTGGCAACCCACTCACAACCCCTTCTGTTTTCTCTCAATAAATATATTCTGCTCTTAACGTCTGTTGTTCCTAAAATTCATTCTCAATTTTAGAGAACACGAACTTGTCCTGGACATCCACTAGGTTGGGAGTTTCATTCCCCTGTATCACTTTGATAAAGAGAGCTTTCTGAGGAAGCGAGAAACATTTGACACCAAACTGAATTAATTATGCAAAATTATTGGCTTCCCATTCCCCGTAAGACAGTGTACATCTCCATCATACTGACAGCACTGGCCAACAGAACGAGTGGCCCTAACATGGACTGTCAGCTGTCTCCCTGCTTCCCTTTGCCATAAACAAAATGGGTCTGCCTGGCTGGGTCCTTGGCTGGCCTGCTGGGATGAGGAGGCTTGTGAAGCAGCCCTGCAATGCCAGTGGGCCCTAATTGGTCACTCAAGGACACACAGTGTGGTCAAGAGGGACATCTTTGAAATCATGAGCTGCTGAGATGTTGAAGTCTATTGTTACAGTGAAGCTCACTGATACAAACCCCAAATGCAATCAGAGGGCTTTGCCGTCACAGAGGAGAGAAACATTTCTTATACTCGGAGGGTAGGAGAGGAGTGGACACATGTAATTTTTTGGTCGGTAAAGAAACAGTTCTGTCAGCCTAGGGACATGCTGAAAGTGTCCGAGTTTCACCCACGCTCTGTCTTATCTGGGCACTGAGCTTTCTTTCAGTGGAGGCTGACTTGGTAGGCTTTGTTGGCCTGGTAATAATTTGCCCCAGGCAGAGTGATCCAGAGGGCTCCAATTTGGGAGCTTTTAGGAAAGGCAGGGTAAATGCAGTCTTGTTCTGTCTCTCTCTCAGATGTGCACTCATTTGAATAACTATACATTTATATATTAACTATATAATATATAAAGATAGTATATATATTAACTATATATTTATTAAGCCAAGTACTGTACTGTGTATAGAGTGCTGTGCCAGACACTAAAAAATCAAAGAAGCTATTTTCTAAATCTGTCTTTCACCATGCCTGTCCCAGGTTAGTTGATTAAAACACTCATTTATGTTTTTTATTCCTTGTTTCCCATTCTCCTGTCTCGTACCACATGTTGCTTTCTGTAGCAGCCAGGAATCAAAGCCTTAGTAAAAGTAACTGGAAGTCACTAACTCTGTCCTTTATAGAATCCTTTCTGGAAGAAAGGCTTTTAGTAAAACCCAGTCCTTTACTGTATTACAGCGTCCCGGGGGCCCTGTTCCCTTTGGCCGCTTTCTGATGGATGTCGCAGGACTATGGAACAGGCACCATCCTGGAAACAAGGGGTATAGAAATGGGCGCTCTCGAGGCAGAGTACTGTCCTGTAGCAAATACACAGGACCTGCTGGCCATAAAGAGGAGGCGTAGGGAGAGGTCTGGGTAAAACTAAAACCCTACCGTATGTTTTATACATTTATGTATTTTATTATTTAACTCCATGTACCAAAATACTGTTCCACTTATAACTGATATAACATTACTAACAAGGTTGGGTATTTTGCACACAGTTTGTGAAGTACAGTGTCTGTCACATACTTGCCACACAAATGGGTCCCCAGCCACATCCCAAGTCCTCAGTTGCCGCCTGCAGCTGGTGGCCACAGTGCTGACCAGAGCAAGTGCCAAGGAGCTCACTTCATGGGTGCCAAGTCAAGGTCAAGAGCAACTTAGAGACAACGAGAACGAAGTCTTGATTTTCCCTACATCTCCGGTGACTTAGGAAGTGGCCGACACATAGGCGGTATCAGTATTTGTTGGGCAAATAGATGGAAATTCAGTTTTCTCCACTCTTGTTTCAGGAAGGAAGCATTCCATGCCGGGTTTGGAATTTCCACTTTCTGGTTTTATTTCATACCTCGCTCCATCTTGGTAGTCCCCAGCGGCCAAACAGCTCCCAGGAAGCAGGCCTGGCGCTCAGCACCTGGCTCCTGCTGCAGACTGCGGAGGAGGGGTGGAGATCATGGTCTCTAATAGCGCGATGCTATTTTCTGCCTTCCCATAGGCATTTAGTTTGATGCTTCAAACACAGAATTCCTAGCTCTCCTGTCCAGGTTTCTGTGACTTCTTTTCAGCATGATTTTTCATTGACTCTTTATTTTCAATGATTTTGGTTTGTGAACATTTGCCCTGTAGCTATACATTGTTATTATATCTTAACTCGAGTCACTAGAAGACCAGAGAATGAAGATGAGAGCTGAGAGGCGGGCGATGTCTCACATGCTCTCTGAAGCAGGTCTGGGGTCCTCTTTCCTGAGTGTCTTCCGTCACCCACTGTGGCTGCCTCGATGTCCTGGCTTGATTCAAAGTGTCTGTCTTTAAGCTCTCTTTGACTTTGGGAAGAGCCAGAAGTCGCATGGGGCCAGCTCTGGTGAGTAAGGTAGCCGAGGACGTGTTCTTCTGTTCTTACAAGCCTGCCTTTCTGTTAGATGGCACACAGCGGCCGCATCCACCATAATTTTATAGTCAAATCTAATTTAAAAAGTCACAAAAGAGGTCTTTTAGAACTGCTTCAGAGTGGCCAAAACAGAGAGAGAGAAAGAAAGAAAGATAGGTCTAAGGTCCAGAGAACTAGAGCATTATGTGAGTTCAACAAAGCATACAGGCTGCTTATTTTTACTTTGTTTTTTCATGCAACAAGGGGAATAATCCACTTTAAAAACATAAGCCATTATCTGATTTTTAACTTGGCGAAATGAATTTAAATTCTGTGAAACATAAACATCTTTATAAGGTTTTTTAAGGAAAGTGATAAGGTGGGATAAGTTTATTCGCAGCAAGGGGAGTGTTTTGAAGGACATTAATAGCAATGCACCCTTTACTATAATCATTTTTTCACAATTTAATGCTCACCTTTGGCTTCACTTACTGTGGAAGATTCCATCGCAGTAGAGTGGCTAACGGCTGTATCGTGGACATGTGGGCAGCCATGGGTGTGTGTGGCTGATCAGCCTGACAGCTGGCAAGATCCGAGACCCTCCTGTTTAGAACCAGGAGAAAATAACCCACCCACAACCAGGAGGAGTTGGCAGGGCAGTGACCTGCTCCTGCGAGGGGCCTCTGAAGAGAACCCAGCCAGCAGATGCCTTCACCAGGTTGCTATGAGCCACCGAGCCCTGGCCAGACCCTGACCTGCAGGAGCAGAGCCAGAACCAGCGTATGCTGGGTTGGGCTGTTACACCTGTAACATTTCCACAAGGCACACCCTCCCTAACACGGCCTCATCTCTGGGTTCCTTTACTAAAGGGCTGAAATACTACAGTGTCAATAGGTGTGTGTGTGTGTGTGCACGTGCGCCCGTGTCTTTGGAGTCTCAGTTCCCACTATTGCCCAGCGTGCACGCCATGCTGCAGACATGATGAGCGAATCTCTAAACTACCATCATATTGCCTGCCCCTGCAGGATGCCCCTGGTTCTCCCTGTCTATCTTCCAATCTCGCTGAAAACCCTTCTTTGGAAGACTTCTATGAGCTTCCCATGTGACCCAGATGACTCCCTCCCCGCCAGCAAGACCCAGAGAAGCGCTCTGTGGGTGTACTTATCCTGCAGGAGAGCTGCAGATTCACACATGTGCGCCCTCTCAGACTTGGAACCATCTGGACAAGAGGGATTGTCACAGCTGCCCCAGTAGCAAGTGACTCACATACCTGTGGCTGCTGAGATCTGTCTGATGGCTCCTCTGTATGGCAGAATTGACTGCCTAGCTGCTCAAAGTTCTCATTCAGACGTAGAAGAAAAACACTGGATGATAGTTTTGACAGTGTGGAGATTCATAGACCAGCCTGGGTAGTCTGAGCTCAAGAAACAGGACCTCTGTCCATCTGGCAGTCAGATTCTTAACAAGATGCGTCAACAGAGTCTCAAAATTCCAGCTGGGCTTGTTCTAGAAATGAAATAGATAGATTATCCCGGGGACAGTTTAGTGCTTTCTGATGCTCCCATGGCCCTGCTGGCCCTGGGCTGCCATTGTAACAGATGAGGACTTCAGTACCATCAGGGTCCCTCGGTCCTTGGCGGGGTAACCCAGCATGCCTGCCACTAGCATAGCGCTCACACACTGGCCATTTGATTATGGAACAAATGCTTCACAACAACTAATTTTTAAAAATAGCATTTGGATTAATTTTTTCTAGAATATTCTTTTAGAACAACTTTTCAGACAAAGTATCAAAAGTGTTAAAAAAATATAGTTTATTTTTAAATTTAAGGTTCTGAAGAGCTATATAGTACTTGGCTCTCTATGCTAGTTTTTTATTTTTTAGCCTTCTCAACTCTGTAGAGAAAGGGCTATTAGTGTTGCTTTCTGAATCATTTTGATTCTGCTGGGGAAGATTTGTAAAACTGACTTTAGTACTTGGGAAAAATTAATCCCCTCCCAATACCATATCAAATATCAGCTATGTAACATTAACATAATACATTGTGGATGGAAATATAATTTTTTTAAAAAGGCAACTAATATTTGGATAACCATAGAGGACCATATTTTTTTCTTTGCACTATAGAGAAGAATGTGAGAAAAATCTTCTCCTCATCACTGTCTAGCTTGCTAAATATTCCTTGTATTCTTTAAGGCTGGCTTTTGAATCCTCTTGAATTGATGTTTTGAAGAGTCAGGTTTTATTTAAATGCTAATATATCACTTAATAATTTGTCCTCTCTACAAAAACAACATAGAAACAAGATTCACAGGACAGGTGTTGAGAATAGACCACTTCAATAAGGTCTTCTCCGCTGAGGAATGTGAAAATAGTTCTCATCCATAGAAACAGGGATAAGGAAATGGGGAAATGGAAATAACGGATTTTAATTCGCGGCTCCCACATGGCAAGCAAGGTCCTATTTTTAGGTGGCGCACAGTAATATCAACTCGTGGCAGTGATTCTCAATGCTATTGAAATGGTAAAATATATATTTCTTTCCTATGAAGTTTAAACTTGTGAATTAATAAACAAGATGGGTTGGAAGTTGTTTCCAATCATTAATGCACAGGTGAAATTGTTCTTTCATGGCGGGTGGGCCAATTAGCAT